GAAGGCTGTGTTCCTTGATCTTCATCAGTAAATGTTTCAAGTCCTCTTCACTTTCAGTAAGCAAGGTTGTATCACCTGCATACCTGGCACCACACCAGATACTTTTCCATTAATCCTTCCCAGTCCTTCCAACCCTATTTCCTTCCCACCTTTTAAAAAATTCTGACAATATAGACAAAGACTGGGACTATATTGTTAATAAAGTTAAGTTTGGAGTTCTAAAGGAGTGCAAGATCTCTAACTGCATTTCTAGCATACACTTAACATATTCAAACAAAAATCCATATTATATAATGTTACAGCATATACTATCTTGGTGTGGCACTGTGGGCTAATTCGTCAGTCTGCAAAGTCATTTGAACTGCAAGGTCAGTGGTTCAAACTCACCAGTCACTCCTTGGAAACCTTATACGGGGTCGCTATGGGTCGGAAAAGACTTGACAGCACTTAACAACAACATATTACTATACGTAATTTGAATATGGAATATTCAAATACAAACCAATGTCATTCTCTTTATGTATGCTTTGTTCATGTATTCATTTTACAATGAAAATATATTATTTTTATAATCAAAAAAATTGCAACAGGAATATTTTCCGGTCAGGGAGCACAAGTCTGTCTTCCTAGGCATACTATGTATTTCTATCTTTTCCCCTAAGTAGTTTGGTGTATTGAGAAAGTAGCAAAGGCACTGAGTGATGTAAGTCATGAGACTGGAAATCTAGAGGGGTTCTGGAAGGCAAACATGGAAGGAATGAAAAGAATGTTAGAAAAAAAGGAATAATCACATTCTCTGTTTTCATGAAACATTAGTTTATCTTTTGTTTACAGTTGTTATACTTTCATTAATAGATTTAAGAGCACAATCGTTTAAAGTACGTATTTTCATTTTAAGAACATAATTTTGCTTCTGATTATAATTAACTGCAAGGTCAGCAGTTGAAGCTCACCAGCCACTCCTCGGAAACCCTAAAGGGTTGCTGGTTGCTATGGGTCGGAATCGACTCAATGGCAAGTAGCAACAACAATAATGAAGTAACTGGTCACACACTTGTCCTCCATTGGACAAAAATACACGGCAACTTTTCAGATATTGGAAACCAGCAGAGCAGACTACGATCATTGAGGAAAACTGTAAATTCGCCCTGGTTTGAAGAATGGGACACCTCAACCCCAATGCAGGGAAAGGAGCATGGTAATCCCACTAAGCAAGGAAGCAGTGATCAGAGTCGGTGACATAACTGTAATTTGAAAGGCAGAGTAGCTTACCAAAAAGAGCTATGACAAGGGGTGACCATAACTCTGTACACAGTCTCACTGTGGACTCTCGACCAAGGCATGGCTGCCCTGTGCAGGATGAGACCACTTGAAGCTTAACAGAGATTACTGCTGCTTGGAAGAAAGTTGAATGAAGTTTCCATAGAGCATGGAGTTTTGGGAAACATAGAAATCCCCATCCAGCTTCTGTGAAGAAACCATGCTAAGCCCCTCTGAGATTTTTCTGAAAACCTTAGAAGCTACATTTTAACAGGAAAGGCCACCAAAATATACCAAATCTAACAAATTATATGGCTTAGCCTCATAAAATCAAAAGGCTCCTCCAATAATGTACCTGTCTGCCAGAAGTTAACTCAAACAAACAAAAAATCTCACACCCTTTAAAGCAGAGGTGGGGAACGTTTTTTCTGCCAAAATTTATAACATAATTCACTGTTGTTGTTAGGTTCCATCAAGTTGACTATGTACAACAGAACAAACACTGCCCGGTCCTGGGCCAACATCACAATTGTTGCCACGCTTGAGCCCACTAATGTTGCCACTCTGCCAATCGATCTCACTGGAGGTCTTCCTCTTTTTCTCTGATCCTCCTCCTTACCAAATATGATACCCTTCTCCAGCAACTGGTCCCTCCTGATAATATGTCCGAAGTATGAGAGACGAAGTTTGGCCATCTTGGCCTCCAAGAAGCACTCTGGCTGCACTTCTTCCAACACAGATCTGTCGCTTCTTTTGGCAGCCCAAGGCACTTACAATATTCTTCCCTAACACCATAATTC